AAATTATTTAAAGTAATTAACAAGTCATTCCACTTAAAGTAAATGACAAGAGGCTAACCCCTTATATCTTGATCAGGTGAAAATAATCAATTAGAGGTGTGAACTAGTGTGAATAAGGCCTTCCTTTTGGTAATGTACTTGGTACTGTGTGTTGAATCAGGTTATACTCCAGGGACTTCACACTGAATGATGCTGCTGTTAGCTCTTGAACTACTGAGAATGCTTCCTTATAGTTAGAAGTCATGTTCTATAGAACTACATGTTCCCTATGTATTGACAAAATGGTGCTATGGAAAGACTACTGGCTTTGGAGTCAGACCTAGGTTCAATTCTCAGCTCTGTTATTTGTTGGGCAGGTCACTCAGTCTCCCTGGGTCTCAGTTTCCTAACATGTAAAATGAGGGGGTTGGGCTAGATGACCTCTCAGATCATTTTTTAGCTCTAATTCAAAGGTTCCCAAACTTATTCGGCCTACTACTTCCACTTTAAAAAAATTACTCAACACCCTCTTGGAAATCTACTTTCTTAAACCCTTTTTAAAAATTTGCATCATTTCAAAAATATATAAAATATTTTTAAATGTCACATCTTAAATTTAATAATTTATTGTAAATTTGTGAGGTTTTTTCCTGCATTGAAATTTTGATGATGTAATATTGCATCATGTAACCATGCAGTATTATATTGTAAACAAGTCATTACAGGCACATGTTCCTGCCCATGCATGCTGGACATTCTGACAGTGTGCAACAGGCTCAACACTTACTTGTTAAGACCTGTCAGCAGACTTGACCACTGATCAGTTATTATTTGCATTTTGTGTGTTAAGGTGGAAAATAATGTAATTACTACAACTTTAAATCTGTTATACAACAGATCAAACATGTACAAATGGTTTTTCAAAATTTTCTTCCCTTCTCTTCTTTCCTTATACTTCCACCACCCCCCTTATTTTTATTCAATGCCCCCCAATTGTACCCAAGGCTACTACCACCCCCCAGATTGGTCCAGTGCCCCCCAAGGGATGGTATCATCCACTTTGGGAATCTATCCAATATCCAGTGCAAACTTTAATACTTTTTCGATGATTCGATGACTTCATTGTGAATGAACTTTCCATTGGTGCAAACAGCAATTTCTCTCTAAATTTTTATGCTGTGTGATTCTTATGCATACTTTTCTATATATTCCCCAAAGATTGTCCATTGAATAAGTGGAACAACTTCCTCTGGTTATTTCAATATTTTGTGTATTTTGGTGCAAACCTCAGGCTGGCTATCATTAACCTTCACTCTTATTACATGATTGGCATATCCCTCTTCTTTGGTCATACATATCTTTGATAATGTCTTTTATATCACTTCTTGTATGTAAGCCATCATAGGTAATATTCCGTCATCATAGGTGTCTGCTTTCCCTCTCTTGGAAAAAAGATATTGCTCTTGCAGTGAAGTATCCAGTGATACTATGCCTTTGGGCTACTTACCATAGGTCTACTGTAAATCAGGTGATTGGCTTTGTCCAAACTGCATGCAAAATACTTACTTTCACTCGTGATAGATCTTTCTGTTTTATGTCATCAACATTTTGGATCATTAACATGATCTCTTCTGAGATCATGGGTTTTCATGACTTAAAGCCATATGACATCACTTAGATATAAGCGATGGTTAAAAAGATGGGTGTTTGAAGAAAAGTATTAAATTGTTCACACACTTTGATCAAGTGATTCCATTACAGGAATTAGATATACCCAAGGAATTTATTGACAGTGAGAAAAGGCCCATGCATAAAAAAAATTCATAGCAGCATTGTTAACAATAACAACAACAAAACTCTGGAAAAATATGTGCCCAACAATTGAGCAATGGTTTCACAAACTATGATATGGGTAGCTGAATAGGGCAGTACATAGTTATGGGCCTGGAGTCAGGAAGACTTGAGTTCAAATTCAACCTCAAACACTGGCTGTGTGACCCTGGGCAAGTCACTTAATTCCTGTTTGGCTCAGTTTCTTCATCTGTAAAATGAGGATGATTGTACCTACCTCCCAGGGGTGTTGTGAGAATCAGATAAGATAATAATTATAAAGCCCTTAGTATGTGCCTCGTACATAGTAAGCAGTATATGTTACTTATCATAATCATTATTATTAGGATGTAATAGAGAATATTCCTAGTACGTTAGGATTATGATGAATTCAGAGAAACATGTAAAGACTTGTATCAAGTGACAGAGAATGAAGAAACCAGAGCCAAAAGAATAACAGATACGATGGCTACAACATAAAAATACCAATGTGAAGAAGCAACAAAAGTCCAGTCAAAGATGATGTCATTTTTTAGGCTAAAATGGCCCTGTCTTCCAGAGCCAGGCCCACTAGGTCAGTCCCTTGGAATTTCAGGGTACTTTGAAGAATTTGTGGAGGGCTATGCTCTACTGCCATTGGCTTGGGTGCCAATAAACTGTGCTCTCTCCATTTGTAAATGACCAAGAACTAGAAAACCAGTCCTATTTGACTACTTAACAAGGATACGTTAATTAGTTTTTGCAAAGGGATATTCCTTCAAAGATTTCTCCCAAAAAACTTGAGGGCATACTCCCTTCCTGCATCACTTCAGAGAAAGGCTAACAAAACAGGCCCAACTTAACTCAGTTCTTACATAGCATTAGTCTCACCAAGTTCAAGTCCAAAGATAGCGTCTTTCCTAGATCAGTCTTCTTTGTAGATTTTGCTGGCATGGGTTTAGAAGGTTGCTTCAGAATATCATTCTTTGTTCCCTGTGGCATAGATGTTGGGCTGACTGCAATACCTGGTCTGGGCTCCTACCCTTGAATTCCTGTGGCTTGCCCTTTGAACCTTTTAAAGCTCCCAGGGTTGAAGACCCCACTCCCTTTATGCAGACACCATAAGAGAAGGATTGGCTGAAGTCCCCCAGAAGCAAATGAAGCAAAAAGACTGCAGCTGAATCTTACAGGCCTTTTTTGATTACTATGCAGGCAAAGAGTCTCCTCATTACCATGGGGTTAGCCAACTGGAACCAGTCACAGAATTCCTATAAATGTTCCAGTCTTTCTGAGACAAGTGTCTTACATGTCATAATTATTATCCTTGAAGCAGCCTCCCAGCAATGCAAAGATGTTATCCCAGGTGTTCTATGCAGGTACCAGACCCTCCATTACGTTAAAATCACATTGCCAAAGTTCCAGGATCTTCCTTTCTTTTAACAATTGAACTGTTTTATTTTCATTTTGGGTGGTGAAGGAGTGAGGAATATAAGAGAATTTCTTCAGATACTTGCTAGAAAGTATCTTTGTTGTGTCAAAATAAAATGTATCAATAAATCTAAAAAGAAACAAAGAGTTTCTGTATAAATAAATAGCAATTCCAAAAGTAAATTAATATAGCACTGTACATTTTCCCAAATACAATATATGTGTATGTGTATGTATATGTATATGCATACACCTATGTACATATATGCATATACACACTCACTAATGGACTAACTGAATAGACTGCCTGTCGAACAGCACATTGTAATCTTGGTCACATGTATTTTCTGTCCACTTAGTTTTCCTAGCATGGATTTTTAGGCCAATCTCTTTCAAATGAATGCAAATTTCATTGAGGAGTCTGTCATGTTCCAGGGCTCTATGTCAACAATACAATGCTATCTGCAATTAGAAGAATGTGAGGACATCAATATGGATAGGAAATCCTTCTTTTCTTTTCTTTTGTTTCTGCACAGTATTTCCTCCATGACTTGGGTCAATATCTTAAGGTAAACATATATATATATATATATATAATCCCTATTTTGTGCTTCACTCAATGTTGTTTCTCAACACATGATGTTAACAAAACCCAAAGCCAACCAAATGAAAACCAAACTTATCTCCATGGTCATATCTACTGTGGAATATTAAATGATTAACATGTGTGTGTGAAAGACACCTTGTAAAGGACAGCTCTTAAGGTAGCATTTTATTTTTAAAGATGGGCTCTACATTTCCCCCTGCCCATTCTTTGGGCAATTGGCCAGGTCAGGGAGATCTCATGAAGAAAATTGCCAGCAGATCTTTTATAACTTCACATAATTCTTTGAGTACATCAGAAAGTATAATTATTGATTGCCAAATGGGACACGTCCAATTTATTTCAATAATTTTAGAATCAATCCCAGCCTCGATGCCTCATTTGTTAAAATTGGCCTTCCAAAAGACAGAGGGAGAATCAGAAACTTTCCTTTTCATCTAATGAAGGCAATTGTGTCTTTTTTTAAAAAAAAATTCTTTTTGCCTGAATTTAGATCTGGATCTAAACAACCTTTTTGTGCCTGTTCATCTGATAGATGAATCATCCTGAGATGATTTTTTTCCTCACTGGGGCCATCTAAGAGCTTCATTATTGCATTGTTGACTGTTTCATGAAAAGATGACTTTGTCACATGCAGTTGAGCACATTTGATTCTGCATTCAACAGCGGGGAAGAGGTATATGTGTTTATACCTCCTTCTCTCTTGGCCATATTCTCTACTGCTAAATTGTTCACACAGGCAGCATTCATAAGAAGGAAATTACCCAGCCAGGTAGAAGAGAAGATAGAGCTCTAGATCTGGAGTGAGGAAGACCTGATTTTAAATCTGGCCTTTACTAGCTGTATGACTCTGGGCAAGTCACTTAACCTCTGTCTGCCTCAGTTTATTTATCTGTAAAATGAGGATAGTAATAATAATAACACCTATGTCTCAGGGTAGTTGTGAGGATTAAATGAAATAATATTTGTTAGGTGCTTTGCAAGATTTAAAGTAATATATAAATGCCAGCTATCATTATTATCCAGCACATTTTTATATTTCAACACCCATGATAAGTTTTTCTGTGTTCTACAGGGTCAAAGATTCTATGAATCTGAGGCTAAACTATATTCCAAAGGGTCCATTTAGGGCCCAGACTCAAGTGAATCTGAAAAAATCAGATGATTCTTTCCATTTCAGATCATGTGCAGAAATCCAAGATGCTTTCATGACATATACTGTGTATGATGATGCCATCACAATCAAACTGATTCAAGAAGCCTGCAAACTTCTGGGTAAGTATGAAAAAAGAGGAGGGGGGTGGTGTGACTCAGAGTTGTATTTCAGGATATTTTCTCCTTGGGCAAAAATAGTTGCTCTTGGGTTAGGGGTTAGGAGTGTGGAGAAAGCATACAGAGGATAATCTGCTGGTATAATGACCCTGGAAGAGCCTATAGTCTGACCCAGGTGAAGACAAACCCACAATAGGTGCATGATGGCCATGGGACTCTTTGGGGTGTGGTGGGTCAGTCATACCTGGTCATACCGTGTGGTGATGTCGGATGAAGGCGGATCATGAGACCCAAGGAGGAAGGGTACCTCATTGGATGTTGACTTGCTTGGGCAAAGCCCCATTATGTTTCATGCTAGTTATGGTACTGGAGTGGCCTTTTCAACTCTAGTAAAACTGATTTGTTTTAGTAGAACAGTACCATAATACCAACATCACAACAGTTTTTATTATCACCATGGTCTTTAAAATCTTTGAAGTAGATTCTGTGCTTGATACTCCAGTATAACCAATGCTAACCAATGGATAAAGAATTTCTTTTATGTAGTCACTCATCCCAATCATGCAGATCACAGCCTACCATAGCCAGTCCCTCCTAGGCAAATCTGGAGCATGTTCGCCCATAAGCTTGCCCTCCAACATACTAGGGACCTTCCTCAAGTACTCTTGATGTTTTGAGATAAGCGGACAACACAGGCTATCCATTGGCTCTGCCTCCCTTGTACTATATAATCAGATCTTCTTCTTCTTCTTCTTCTTCTTCTTCTTCTTCTTCTTCTTCTTCTTCTTCTTCTTCTTCTTCTTCTTCTTCTTCTTCTTCTTCTTCTTCTTCTTCTTCTCTCTCTATGTATATATGTATCACCTCTCTCAATATTCTATTCCATAATGTGTGCCTTTCATAGTAACCTAGCTCAGAGAGGTCTCTCAGCTGATCAGAAATCAAGTCTTACTCTGCATACATAGCAAAATGGTGTTATGGACATACATTTCTTGGGCAACTGACTAATCCTAGTAGGTGAAGGTGTTAGACTTGGTTGAGTGTCTTGGCAAGCATTCTTTTAAGCTCGTTTTTCTTCTACTGCTTCTCCCTGTCTTTTGAGGTGAAACTACTTGTAATCTTTCACTATACTTCTCCATAAAATTTTATAGATGACTTTATGTTGTCAACTGGTGCTGTCATTGGCTGCCATATCTTTCCACTTGGCAAGGAGAGCAAGTATTTGCTTGATGAGGAGGTTTCTAGGTTGGTCTGGTCTCCTTGCTATGGCAATTAATTTACATTAATCATTCTTACGATATTATTGATATTTGACCATTTATGCTGATCATTTCCCTTTAAGTCAGGTTGTTGATTTAATCATATCCCTTATCTTTGTCACGTGAGGGCAGTCCTGTCCTATTCTCTCTGCCACTCAAACACACATACACACACACACACACACACACACACACACACACACACAGAGAGAGAGAGAGAGAGAGAGAGAGAGAGAGAGAGAGAGAGAGAGAGAGAGAGAGAGAGAGAGAGAGAGAGAGAAGTTCCCTTAGATAAGCTATCCAAGGTTCAGGATTTAGTGGATGCAAATTCATCCAATCAGAAACCACAGATCACAAACTCTCACTAATGTGTTTACTCTTATTAGTGAGAGAGATAACATGATTAGTTTAAAGCAAAGACATTTAATGAATTAATATAGTGAGAAAAGAAGTACTAAAACATTTCTCCCATAAACTTGGGGCATAATCTCCTAAAATTACATAAACCATCAGTGGGGAAAAGCAGACATATAAAGGGAACATGAATGGAGGGGCATAGATCCAGGAAACATGTGTGATCAGGGCATATACATAACAAACACATGTGGCCATGGTACAAATGTAGTGGAACCTACTCACATGGTGGGGCACACGTGTAGAGAAGAAACACACCCTCATTGTTCCTAGGCCATCAATGTCACTGATTCTGAAATGATAATTGTGTCATAGGTTAGTGAAGGGGACCTGGGTTCAAAGAGAACTGGGCCCCTATCATACAAAAGTACAGCTTTTGTGAGGGACTTCTTCCAGTAAGTGGGCCATCCATCATTGTGTATGAATCTTGTCCTTTTCAACACACTACCTGTTTGGGCTTCTGATTGAGCATGAGATCAGATAGAGGGAGCAGAAAGGAACCACTTAGTCCAAACCCATCATTTTACAGATGAAGAAATTGAGGCTCAGGAAAGTTAAGTGAGCTGTCCAGGTCACACAGGTATTAAGTGGTAGAGCAAGGATATGTCCAATGATTCCAGAATAAAATTAGTGCTCTTTCTACACAGTAGCCAATTTTCAGTAGAGAGTTGGGAGGAGAGGAAGAAGATGAAACTGGAAGAAAATGGGCGAGGTAGCACAGGATGGAATTGATATAGGAGTAAAGGGAGGAGGCAAATATTCACCCAATGGAGGTCTCAATGAACAAGACTCCAGTGGGAGGAAGATGTATTCTTTAGTTGGAGTTGGAGATCCTAGAATGGATCTAATCTATTGGGAGTTAGTGCATAGGAGGACCACTCCTTTGAGACAATGTCGTACCTCCATGGATAACATCTTACCCTAGGAGAAGAAAAACATCTATCTTCTTGCCTCTTCTTCCTATTAATAAATTTTGGGGTAGCACAATGTCAACAATAGATAACCATGGTAAAAATGGCAGAGGGCGGTGGAGGATGGGAGGAAGACTTAGGTTCAATGGATATGATAAAAGGAGGCAAAATTTACGTTCTCAATAGTTTGATCTAGAACTGTCTCTGTGTACAATTTCCCTTTATTCCACATTTGTTGTTATGTCTGTCTCTTTGTGACCCCATTTGGGACTGGAGTGGTTTGCTATTTCCTTCTCTGGTTAATTTTACAGATGAGGAAACTGAGGCAAACAGGCTTAAGTGATTTATTGTTGTTGTCATTTCAGACTGAAGAAAATATCTACTTCTCCACCTTATTGGCTACATAACTTTCCATAGCTACACTTGGAGGAATGATAGAATTTGAGGAGCCATGAGACCATGAAAAGGCCTATAGAAGGCAAAGAAAACAAGGCATGCATGTGATCAAACTAAGGTCCCCTGTAGGAGAGTGGGAAGGGTCAGAAGCTTCAGATGCTATGCTTCTGGTAAACTTGAGTATTTGTTAGTGAAGGTTCTAAAAAGAAGGAAGGAGAGAGCACTTTTTTTTTGAATACCTGCAGTGGTTGGGTTGATATCATGCCTCTGGGAAGCTGAGTCCCTAAGTTTTTAGATTTTTCTCTTGGTTTAGTTATAGGTTATTTACCCATTCATTAAACAAGTATTTATTATTGTTATTATGTGCAACAGACTGTGTTAGGCACTGGGGATAAAAGGACAAAAAATAAAGCCATCTCTGACCTCAAGATGTTTATATGTTATAGAGGCAAACAACAAGTAAACAGATAAGTAAATACAAAAAGACAGACAAAGTAGTTACACAGTAATTTTGGAATGAGAGCACAAACAACTGAGAGTGGTAAAGGCTTTGTGTAGAAGTAGCACTTGAAGTCAGCCCCAGGAAGCATAATCTTTAATCAAGCATGAGTTCTTGCTAACACATTCGGTCAGCCAGCTATACTGAGTCTCATAGGGACAGGTGGCTTTCCCAGAAGGCAGTAGTCACCCTTGATACTTGGGGAAGGCACTGAACATATTTCTGTTTCGTGTGATTTTTTTTAAACCTACTGATCTTTTTGTTGTTTTGTTAAAGCAATAAATAACTTCAACTCAGAGCTTCTGGATCTAGCAGGTTTCTTTTTCATCTAGTCTTATCAGCTACTTCCATGTATCTCCGCTATAGTTTCCTGGACTTCTTCGGATAAAGAAAATCGACAGAAAACCTGTTTAAGAGAGAGGCCAAAGGACTTCTTGAAATTTAGAGGGGTGGGGATGAAGTAATTGAATCTTTCAAAACCAAAGCATGTGCCATTAATGGTCTGCCACCATTGTCAACACCAGCTTTAGTTCAACCTGTTGCCACCATCAGTGTGCTAATTAAGGAGCTCTTGTCTGGCTGTGTCAGGCACTCCGAATGGAGTGGAGTTGGGCAGAGCTGTGCAATGCCATCCTAAATGAAGGCTGACAGAAGGAAGTAGACTTCTGACTGGGAGAAATCCAGGGGATAGAACGGTCATGGAAAATCATTTCCATTCAGAAATGTGTTCACCCCTGTTCATTTGGCACCAGAACCCTGACAATTCGAAAGCAAGTTGTGGCTAAGATGGGCGTCATGGCTCAGAGAATAAAGTGTGCACGTTGGATGCTTACCTCAACTATTAGGAATCATAGGAGGTTCCAAGAGAAGTAAAGCTCTCCCATCTTCTAAAGAAGGGGACACTTCTTTGAAGGGACAGTGACACCGGAAATAAGCCATTTTTTGTCTCTATTACAGGAGTTCTTAAACTGGGATCCACTAGTTCAGTGGAGTTCAGTTTCTACAGTGATTTCAGTGGTTCTATTCAGTGGTTCATCCCATTTTGGATGGGAAAACGACATCATCATTTTCACTAACTTCTAACTGAAAGTTAGCATTTCCTTCCATTTGAAAAATAAAAACCCACTATTTTGGGAACCAGCCTGCCAACAAAAAGGTTAAGAACATGTGCTATAGAAAATACTTCATCAATCTTAAGCAGTATGGAAACAAGAGTGATGATTCTTATGTAGAGCAGGGATTCTTACATATATGTGTGTTCTTGAGTGGTGAAGGTGGGGGGAAAAAGGCTGGAGATAGCAAAGAGAAATTTTAGAGAGAAAAAGGAGAAAGGGCTTGGAGGATTATACCTGTTTCCTCCATCCTTTTTCTTTTCATCCTTTTCAGAAATTCACTAGGTAGACTGTGGTTTCTACCACAAATGCTTGTGTATGGTTTATCTGAAAAAGGGAGGATTAGGGGCAGCTAGGTGGCACAGTGGATAGAGGTGACTCTGAAGTCAGGAGGAGCTGAGTTCAAATCCGGTCT